ATTTGCGTTCGAAGACAAGACAAGATTGAGGAAATACAAAATTGTCTACTACGTTTTATACTGTCGAGAAATTAAGGATAATTAATTAATAACTTACCTTTGGCGAAGGACAAATAGAGAAGGTGTTCATGATTCTATCTGGATATTCTTCTCGGATTTTACTGATGAGGAGAGTTCCCATACCAGAACCAGTTCCACCACCAAGAGAATGGGTCAACTGGAATCCTTGCAGACAATCACAACTTTCAGCTTCTTTACGGACAACATCAAGAACTGAATCTACCAATTCAGCACCTTCTGTATAATGACCTTTAGCCCAGTTATTTCCGGCGCCGGATTGTCCGAAGACAAAGTTATCTGGACGGAAGATCTGGCCAAAAGGTCCTGATCTTACAGAATCCATGGTGCCAGGTTCCAAGTCGACGAGAACAGCTCTGGGTACATATTTACCACCGGTAGCTTCATTATAATAAACGTTGATTCTCTCCAACTGAAGATCAGAATCACCGTGGTAAGTTCCAGTTGGGTCAATACCATGTTCATCAGAGATCACTTCCCAGAACTGGAAGTAAAGATGACAGATCTTTTTTAATATCAATATTAAATCATTTGTGGGTACATGTATTTTGATATTCAATTAGAATTTTCCAAGTGACTTAAAAAATAGTTTTCGTCAGTAGATAACTTTACTTCGAACCACAAATTAGCTTGGTTGACAAATACAATAGAAAGGAACGGTGGGTCTATAAAACACTTCCACAATTGTGCACCTTCAAACTCATTGGTATCGATTGGATATTGAACAAGATATTGGAATATTGAAGTGGTAATTACCTTAGCTCCGATCTGGTTACCACATTGACCAGTTTGCATATGAACGATTTCTCTCATGTTGATGCTTGTGAGAACTGACTGGAGTCTAGAAGTGAAGTGTAGTTGAAAGTGGAATGATTTGTCAGTGTTTTATATTAGACCAGGTTTACAGCTGCTATAAACAATTTAATAACTTTATCAACAACATTGGCTTTCGGTAATGGTCTAATTCTTAAATCCAAACTGATTTAATTATATAATCCATGATCTAAATCGATAATCCAATCAGTTCGATAATCGATAATAAAACTAATCTGATTTCAGTAAACTCACTGTGAAGATTACTGAACAAGACTTAATGACCTAGTAACAACAAACAAACAACAAGACAACAGATCTCATGTTTCGGGTATAAATTAACAGTTTAAATCACCAACTCTACATTCAGTTGTAACATCTTGCCTTGGTTAGCTTCAACTCTTACTGCAAGGTTCCCGTCTCAAAACCTTCGTCAGTTTTAAACTTTAGTGTCAACTATTATAAACCTTCAATATGGTAAGTGAAACCCTTTTAGTTTATATATTACCTCAGGAGTAGTAAAATGTTTAATAAGTGTATTTTAACGGAACAATAAGATAGTTAATTCCCACGAATAGTAGAATACAACAAGTATTATCTTCCATTATTGAATGTGATCTATAAGTTCTCAGTAATTGTCGCCTTAGGTTTATCTTTATTATCAAAGTATTATAAACAATAAGTCCGTTGCCTATCCTTGGAAATTGTGTTTTCATTGACTGTTAATCTGTTTTGCATTGTTAATTTGTATGAATAATACTAAAATTTAAGTATTTCCTGGGCCACCCGATCTACATGTATATTGATACGTTGTTGCTTTTTATGGGTCAACCCCTACATATCCCCTTTCTTCTCACATATACCTTCTTTCCTTTCAGCGCGAGTGTATCTCTATCCACATTGGTCAAGCTGGTGTCCAAATGGGCAATGCCTGTTGGGAGTTGTACTGTTTAGAACATGGTATCCAACCAGATGGTCAGATGCCTTCTGACAAAACTATTGGAGGTGGCGATGATTCCTTCAACACTTTCTTCAGTGAGACTGGAGCTGGTAAACATGTTCCAAGAGCTGTATTTGTTGATCTGGAACCAACAGTTGTAGATGAAGTCCGAACTGGTACTTACCGCCAACTCTTCCACCCTGAACAACTCATCACTGGTAAAGAAGATGCTGCTAATAACTACGCTCGAGGTCACTACACAGTTGGTAAAGAGATCATTGATTTGGTTCTGGACAGAACCAGGAAGCTGGCTGATCAATGTACTGGTCTTCAAGGATTTCTAATCTTCCACAGCTTTGGTGGAGGAACTGGATCTGGTTTCTCTTCCTTGTTAATGGAAAGATTGAGCGTCGATTACGGAAAGAAATCTAAGTTGGAGTTTGCTGTTTATCCTGCTCCACAAGTATCAACTGCTGTAGTAGAACCATACAACTCCATCCTTACAACCCATACCACACTGGAACATTCTGATTGTGCCTTCATGGTGGACAACGAAGCTATCTACGACATTTGTCGACGAAATCTTGATATTGAAAGACCAACTTACACCAACTTGAACCGACTGATTGGACAGATAGTCAGCTCCATCACTGCTTCACTTCGATTTGATGGTGCCTTGAACGTCGATCTTACTGAATTCCAGACCAATTTGGTACCCTACCCACGTATCCATTTCCCATTGGCTACCTATGCTCCAGTCATTTCTGCTGAGAAAGCCTACCATGAACAACTCTCTGTTGCTGAAATCACCAATGCTTGTTTCGAGCCAGCCAATCAGATGGTCAAATGTGATCCTCGTCATGGTAAATACATGGCTTGTTGTATGTTGTACCGAGGTGATGTTGTTCCCAAGGATGTCAACGCTGCTATTGCAACCATTAAAACCAAGAGAACAATCCAATTTGTTGACTGGTGTCCAACTGGTTTCAAAGTCGGTATCAACTACCAACCACCAACTGTTGTACCAGGAGGTGATTTAGCCAAGGTCCAGAGAGCTGTTTGTATGTTGAGTAACACGACTGCTATTGCTGAAGCCTGGGCTCGTCTTGATCATAAATTTGATCTGATGTATGCCAAGAGAGCTTTTGTTCATTGGTATGTTGGTGAAGGTATGGAAGAAGGTGAATTCTCTGAAGCTAGAGAAGATTTAGCTGCTCTAGAGAAAGATTATGAAGAAGTTGGAGTTGATTCTGTTGAAGGTGAAGGAGAAGAAGAGGGAGAAGAATATTAAACATAATCAAAATTTGATTACTGAATAAATTATTTGAATTAAAGAATTCGCAAATTTAAACCTAGTTATAGCACACCTAAGCACCTCCCTTTTGTTAATACAACGAAAAGATCAAAGGAAATACTTCAAAATTCGGCAACTGTGGAGGTTTCATAGTCGCAAGCCTGTCACAGAGTGCCTAGGAGAGTTCTCCTGAGAAAATTTTCGAAAAATTGAATTGATTTGATGCATTTTGACACATATTTCAGGGGAAAAACGGATAAAATTCACATTTTGAAATTTGTTGAAAATAAAGTGGACTGCAAACCATTTTTATGGGGGCAAATCTAGAATACACATGTAATTGTCCCATAGGTACATGTGCAAGTTGTCTATTGACTCGTACACTTTGACAAATCAAGCCGACCAGACTAGCGACTTCGACTTTTAAAGACAGAAATAGACAAGTATCGATATTGTAGAAAATAGAAGAAGCTTATACACGAGGTACGTGTTCAGAGATCAAATTCTTGTATTATATAGTATTCACTTCTTCTATTTTCCACTGTATCTATGACCCCGTATCGCTTGTCACATTATTCATATATACAAATACCCACTAAGAAATACTAATTACCACTTTATTAGTTTCTTGATAACAATACAGCTATCTATAATCCAATTGTCGTCCAATGTTCGCACAGCGTTTAGTTTTGTTATGTGGTGCCGTTTTGTGGTTGAGATGTAAATAAATTCCCGAAACTTCAGGTAACACTAAGATCTGGGTATTACACATTATACGAATTGTTTAACAATTAAACCAGAAATTGACAAAGTGGCAGTTCTGCTGTTTCGAACGGCGGCATATCGTTTATATCTATCTGCAGATGAGTTCCATTTCCGGTTTCATCGACTTCGCATCCACCACAATCTCCCCCACAGAATCCTGTTATCACGTGACCACCGGGTTATATTTCCAATCACTGCTGATATCCCCACGGTTTTCCACGTCAGAGAGTCTGGAAACTTGAAGCCCGTCCCTCGAGTGTCGATAACAAATTTTCCCAGAACTCCACAACCATTATCTTTAGGGTAACAATCTTTAGCTGAACCATAATCTGTGGGATTTAAAGAACTATTTGTGACGAAATGAACATAAACAATTATTTTATAACCTTGGGGTATCTGCAATTTTCTTTTTTGAAATTCTGTTGTTCCACCTCCCTTGGTCTCTGGGTTATCTAATGGACTCGTTGCGCAGTCTGTTCCTGTTATCGTGTATTCCAAGAAGGACGCCATGTTCGGATGTTGAAGACTGACAAATGCACCCACACCCGATATACAGAACAATTTGACTCGAGTTTGGTAATCGGCAGGAAACAGCCAATAATCCTTTTCTTCCATACTTTCATTACATTTTCTAATTTCACTACATTTAAAATACGGTGAACAGACAAACTCACTCCACGTTCCATCTTCGGTACAAACTGGGTTGATTGGCGGGAAATATCCAGGTTCACAAACATACTCCACCATTTCATTGACCCCCCCCCACAAAGGTTTAGCTTCAAACGATGACGAGGATAAACGAGGCTCCACTGTATACTGATTACTATGTTTCTTTTAATAGACATGTCATTCTGATTTAATTGTGAATGAGTGGTTAAATAATCAACTCTTACCACTGTGCAGTAGAACATTTGCTATGATCAATAAAAATTATGGTGGTTGTTGATTCTTATATCAGTCAGAGTGTGAATGTCTTGTGTCCTTGAATAAATCATATTATTATAATCACTGTAGCACTGTTAATTAGCACACTTGCTTGAATACATCGAAATTATGGAGGTTGTGGGTTATAATATCAGTCGGCAATGAACCTAAATATCTAGTGACCTTAAATAAGTGATCTTTCATCATTATTATAATCAAATTGGCTGTAAATAAATTTGA